TGTGTGTGTGTGTTTGTTTGTGCGTGTGTGTGTATTCGTGCGCGCGTGTGTGTGTGTGTGTGTGTGTGTGTGTGCGTGCGCATGTGCGCGCGCGTGTGTGTGTGTGTGATTGTGTGTGTGCGAGTGTATGTGTGTGCATGCGTGCGGGGGCATGTAAAGGCGTGTCTGATGTGCGTGCCGTGCATGTGTTGCGCGTGGATGAGGAGAGAGAGAGAGAGAGGAAAATAACATGAGGGACAACGGAGGGAGGTGAGTGAGGGAGACGCGGGTGCGACGCCGGCTGGCACAAAAACAAAAACCCCACCAGGCATGTGGGGGACAGTGCGGGCGATCCTGGGATTTGTTCGCACATTTCTTTGTGTGTCCCTGGGCCCCCTCGGTGCGAAAAGCTGGGGGAAACTTGGGCCAAGGACACCCCTTGGCAGCCCCCGGCGTCTGGCACGGCGCGAGGACTGCACCCTGATCGCTCCGCCGCGCGCCGCCCGTCCTCCTCCTCCTCCTCCTCCTCCTCGTCCTCCTCCTCCTCCTCCTCCTCCTCCTCCTCCTCCTTCCTCCTCCCAGGTGGCTCAGCAGCCCTGCCATAGCCATTTCGGCGGGGCCCGCGGAGCTGGTGCCCCCAGCGCCGCCGGCGCGACGGGAGCCCTTGCGGGGGGGCAGCTGGAGCGCGAGCGGCCGCCGACAGGCTGGTGCAGCGCCTCCAGCGCGAGGTGGAGAAGTGGAAGGCAAGGGCGGAATGGCTCGAGCGGGCGAGGAAACAGCCAAACGTCATCACCTGCGAAGGCGCGTGCGGGAAGACAGGGCAAGGGCAGCAGGAAACAGCAAGGGTGCCGCCAGAGTGAGTTCACGCGGAACTGCGAAGCGCCAGTGTTCGTTCTTTGCTGTTATCACCAACCGCGGAGGGGCCTACAGTGGATGCGGGACTACGCGGACGAACTGCGGCAGAGAGACGGGCAGTGGCAGCCTCAAGGGGACAGGCAGTGGCAGCATCGGGAGTGCGAATACTGCGCGTGCGAGAGTAGCGGCAGTGGCAGCTTCCAGATGCCGTCAGCGAGTGCGCGAAGCGTGAGGCGAGGACGGGGCCGAACGCCATCAGCTACAGCGGTGCGAAGGGGTTCAGTAGCGCGGGCGAGAAGCGTGAGGCGAGGACGGAGCCCAACGCCATCAACTACAGCGCTGCGACCGGGGGGGGGGCGTGAAGGTGATCAGTAGCGCGTGCGAGAAGTGCGAAGCGAGGTCGGAACCCAACGCCATCAGCTAGTGCCTTGTGAATGGCTCGGGCAGTGATTGCCTCGACGTGGTTGTCGGGAGGCGAAGGGCCCCGTGCGTGCGAGAAGGACGGGCAGAGGCAGCTTCGAGCGGACGGGCAGTGGCAGCCTCAAGAAGACGGGCCCTGCACGGGTGGGAGGGACGGGCAGCGGCAGCTTCAGGAGGGCCAAGGCCGCGCGCGCGAGGAAGACGGGCAGTGGCAGCCTCATGCGTCCGAGAAAGACGGACAGTGGCAGCCTTATGCGCGCGTAAGGGGCAGCGGTAGCTTCAGGAAGACGGGCAGCGGCAGCTTTAAACGGACGGGCCGAGAAAGGCGGGCAGTGGCAGCTATAAGCGGATGGACGGGCAGTGGCAACCCCACGAAGACGGACACTCTGCGTGCGAGAAGGGCGAGCAGCGCGAGAAGGACGGGCAGCGGCGGCAGAATTCGAAGGACGAGCCCGGGAACAGCGCGCGCGAGAAGCGGGGGGCGAAGGTGGAGCCCGGCACCATGAGCTACAGCGTTGGGACCAGGACGCGCGAGAAGGAACTGGGGACTGGCGAAGCTAGAACCCATTATCAGCTACAACTCCGGGAGCAACGCGCGCGAGAAATGGGAGGCGAAGCTAGAGCTCAACATCGTCAGCTACAGCGCTAGAGCGGATACCGAGCAGGAGGTCGAGGGTTGGCTCGCCCAGCTACGCGGCGAGGTCGGGGCGCGCGCGCACGACGTGGCGGTTCAGCTTGAGCGCGACGGTGTCGACATAGAGTTAGTCGGGCGGTACATGGGCCCCCGCCGCTTCAGGTGGGCCTTCCGCGCACAGGGCGAGACGGTCGTCCTGCGAGGAGCTCCTGGAGGGAACGGGCGCAAGAGGCTCCGCAAAGGAGCGGGCGCGAGAAGCTCCAGGAGGGAGCGCGCGAGAAGCCTAAGAGGCTAGTCGGCCCAGGGCGCGGCTCCTTCTGTCCCGCCCGCTCGGGCGGCGCCCTGGGCCGAGGAGGCCCGCAGGCAAAGGGGCAAAGGGCGCCGCCGAATGCCGCGCATCCCGAGGGGCCTGCTGAGAACGCCGGCGTGCCCGCGGGAGCGGCCAGAGGCCAAGCGCGAGAGCAGCCCGTGGGGCCGCGATGCTTGCGGGCGAGGGCGACCGCGCGGACGCGGCAGGGAGTTGCCCGCCGTCGGCGGCCCGCTTCTTCTTACCAGCAGTACTTTTATTATTCGTAATACTGTTATTTATTTGTGTCTCATTATCTTTCTCTGTCTCTCTCTCTCTCTTTTCTCTCGCTCTCTCTCTCTCTCTCTGTCTCTCTTCCTTGTTGTTTCTCTCTCGTTTTCTCGTTATTTTGTTTTTCTTGTTCTCTCTCTCTCTCTCTCTATATATATATATATATCGCTCTTATTGTTCTCGGTCTTTATGTATTTCTCTCTCTCTCTTGTTTTTCTCTCTCTCTCTCTCTCTTTCTTTCTTTCTCTCTCTCTCTCTCAGTTTCCACGCGACCCCAGTCGCCTCGGGAATGTTCCCAGGAATGCTCCTCTTCCTCCTCCTCCTCCTCCTCCTCCTCCCTTTCCTCCGTCCTTCCTCCTCCTCCTCCTCCTCCTCCTCCTCCTCCTCCGCCGCCTCCCCCACCTCCTCCTCCTCTTCCTCTTCCTCCTTTTCCTCTTCCTCCCCCTTTTCCGCCGTGTCCGCCGGCTGTCCCCCGAGAAGAGGTCGGGGGCGCTGTCGCCGAAGTCGCCGGCGGCTAGCCACCCGGGGATCCACCCGACGCTCTCGGTCACCCTCTCCGGCGTGATGACCAAGGCCCCTCGGAGGACGCCCCAGACTTCCTCGCGCTGTGAAAACACGACGAACGTTTTTTTTCCCCGTTTCCGGCCTCCGAGGTCTGGCGCTGGCATGACCGTGGTGGTTTCTAACTGGATAGAGGGGTTACAAGCGGATACCAAGGTGGGTTATGTTTGGCCCATCTTGGCTTATAAGTGGCCCACACATGCCCCAAATAGCTTGGGGTGGTTAAAGATCTGGGCTAACTGGGCTTCGCCCGCTTAGCTAAGTTATCCAAACCCCTGAGCAATTCGGGGAATGTTTAACCCACTTGCAAGCCTGGTTGGGCCAGATATAGCCCACCTTCGCATCCACTTGTAGACCCCCTATCCACGAAGAAACCTCCACGGTCATCCCAGTGCCGGTCCCGGGGTAGGGGTCCAGACCTATGGGGCTCGACGTTCCAAACATGGCGACGTCGGGGGTCTGGAGCCGCCCATTCGCCACCCACCAGGCCACCCCAAGAGCCAGCCCGACGGCCCCAATCTTCCCAGAGACCCCAAGGGCCCTGGGGGTCGTTGGGGAGCACTGAACGCCCACGTGGGCGACGCCAAAAATACGGGGCCCTCTGCGCGGACGCCCGCGTAAGGTCGCGCGCCAGCACCCTCGTCTCCAATGTGGCGTGCCGCGCTGGCTAAGCCGTCGCGGGTTATGTTGCCCCCATGGTACTTCGGACCAGGTCTGGGGTTAGGTCGGGCATGTCCCCTTACAGGCGGACTGGGCGAAAATGAACAATGAGTCAACCAATATTCAAAAATGAGCAAACAACATACTCAAACAATCATCCACAGACTATTCTTTACTATATTTGAATTTTCCTCATATAGAGGGACAGACTTATGTTGCTCCCATCGTACTTGAGGACCACATCTCCTAGATCATTTCAAACACCCTCAAAAGATGTCGAACAAGTGTCGAAACAGTGCCGGACGAGTGCATCTCAGGGCCCGAGGGTGAAAAACCTCTATTGCCGTTTTTTTTGGGTGATCGAAATTTTCTTCTGTGATCAAGGCTATAGTCGGTTGGAACATCATAAGACGCGGGAAGTTTGCTACGTCGTCTCGCGCAAGACCCTCTCTTGATTGTCGCTCATGTGGAACTCGTGCCCCCCCCATCCCGAGATTTGGGTCTGCGGGGTAGGCTCAAGTCGGGACTGTCCCTCTACAGGAGGAATCTCCACAACTAGTCAAAGTATAGTCAGGGGGCGATGTTCTGAGTATGCTTGGGCATTTTTTCTGCGTTTGTTTTACAACTAGGGCTCGCCACCACCACCATAAGTTGGAGGGGGAGGGGGTCCTCCTCCTCCTCCTCCTCCTCGTCCTCGTCCGCTCGTCTGTAGGAGGACACGCGCGACCTGAGGCCAGGCTGAAGGTGGCCTGGCAGGTGGTCCCACGTGCACCTGCGGGCTTCCCCCCGGCCACGTCCGGTCCCGGGCCTGGGATGGGCGCAGGCCATCGGGGGTGGACAGACCTCCTACCCTAACATTGGGGGGGGCAAAGAGGGGGGTGATGACTAAGGGGGGGGTGGATATCATGGCGTGGGCCGTGATATTTCCCCAGATTTCATGGCGCCTCTTCTTGTTTCATTACGTCCCCAGCCCCCCCGCTGGGCCGCGCACGTGCCGCCGGTCATGATTTGCACCCCCCCCTCTTGGACACCCCCCTCTCGGCCGCTCCCGATGACACGTGGATTAAGGAATTGGCCGTTTTCTGTTCGCAAGAGGGTGTCGCGGCCGTCATTCTTGCGGGTCCAGGTCCGTCGGTGTCGGTCCCAGGCCGTTTTCACTAAGGGGAGGTTTACTAAAGGGAGGCTTTCCACCGCCGAGACCAGGGCACCAGCCAAGATCAGGCAGCTTCGAAACGCCCCAGCTCGCCGATAGGCCTGCCCAATAATGTTCTGAGATCCTTTTGTGGTCTGCGCGACATGTTCTTCGAACATGTCTGGCTCGGACTGTCGTGCTTTAACACATAAGACTTATGTTCTGAGAACATCGTTTCCGTTCTTAGACTTAGAGCAGTGTCGGGGCTCTAAGAACATTTCGTGGTAGGCGTAGGTTGGGCCTGTCCCCCTACAGGGGTATTTTGGACGAACAATTCAAAATAGTCGAAGAAACACAAAAATTCTCAAACATAGTCAAACAATGACTATTTTTTGACTATCTTTGAATACCCCTCCTGTAAAGGGACAGGCCCGACTCGATGGTAGATCTACGTATAGGCAAGCCAGGACGGTCGGTCCCTGCCCAACAGGAGGACGCGTGCACCGATCCTGGGCCCAGGGCGGGCCAGGCCTGGAGCGGTGCTGGTGTGTGTGTGTGTGTTTGTGCGTGTTCGTGTGCGTGTGTGTGTGTGTGTGTTGTGTGTGTGTCTGTTTTTGTTTGTGTGTGATTGTGTGTGTGTTTGTTTGTGTGTGCTTGTGTGCTTGTGTGATTGTGTGTTTGTGTGTTTGTGTGTACTTGAGTGTGTGTGTGTGTGTGTCTGTGCATTTGTGTATGTGTGTGCTGTGTGTGTGGTTGTGCTTGTGTGCTGTGTGTGTGTGTCTTGTGTCTGTGTGTTGTGTGTGCTGTTGTGTGCTGTGCTGTGTGTGGTGCGCTGTGCTGTGTGTGTATGCGCTCGGCGTCCTCCCCAAGGTCAGGGCGCCCGGCGGAGCGCAGAAGGGCTCCTCGAGCAGGGCCTTCTCGCCGCCCGCGAAGCCCACGAGCAGGGCGCTGGACGGAGCCCAGGAGGGCTCCTCGAGCAGGGCCCTCTCGCTGGACGGAGCGCAGGCCGGCTCCTCGAGCAGGATCTTCCTCTTCCTCCTCCGCCTGCTCCTCCTCCTCCTCCTCCGTCCCTCCTCCATTCCTTCTCCTCCTCCCTCCTCCCCCTCCTCCTCCTCCTCCTCCTCCTCCTCCTCCTCCTCCTCCTCCTCCCCCTCCTCCTCTTCCTCCCTCCTCCTCCTCCTCCGCCTCCTCCGCCACCTCATCATCATCCTCCTTCTCCTTCTTCTTCCTCCTCCTTCTCCTTCGCCTCCTCCTCCTCCTTCTCCTCCTCCTTCTCCTCCTTCTCCTCCCCTCCCCCCTCGAAATCCACACGAGGCGCGATCACAGGAGGGCACTGGACACAGACTAGGGTGGCTCGCGCTGTCGATGGCGAGTCGCCAATGTGTGTTCGGTGTCGTTCGAGCCCTGGCACGCTTTCCCATCGCTTCTTTGTCTGTGATGCGTTTGCTGCACAACGGCAGACGCGTATCACTCCCATGCTCCAGCAAGCGGCCCTACTCTTGAGGACGGAGATGGAGGATAGGCAGAAGCGTTTTTCGCGAGGACTGTTGCCGCATTTCAGCCAGGCCTTTGGCGGAGGAGGGCGACCCAGGGACCCAGATGTCGTTGACCTGGACAAGATTAGCGAAGTAGTGGTGGAAGCGGGTACAGCATTTGTGGACGGACGTGCATATGACGTGCGCTACCCCGAGCTCCGCTCGGCTGGATGGGCTGTGCTGGTCTTCGATGCCGAACAGGCGGTGTGTGGGTCGCTTCCGCGGTGCTGTGCCGAGGCGTGCAGGGCCGACCCGGGTGGCACGAGACGGCGAGGACTATGCGATCCTGGAGGCCGGCCCGCTGGTGCACGGGTCATACAGTCGGGGCGCTGGACAAGGAACCCTTTTCGTTGGAAAGGGGCTCCGTGTTCCTTAGGTCAACGCCCCGACTGTACGAGCTCAAATCGGACTGCTGAGGGTCGGTGCTCTGTTGCCGTCGCCTGGGTGCAGTGGCTGGGCCTGGCAGTCTCAGGGCCCACCTCTGGTCGAGAACCGCGGAGCCCAGGAGCTTTCGGAGAGCCACGGTGTCCCACACCAGGGCCCACACTTCGATGAATGATGTCAGAGAGGGGCTCGCCTCGGCGTTCGATCAGGATTGTAATCGGCAGGCGGACGATCTTGGGAAAGCAGGAGCCGCTCGCCACAGAGCTCCTGAGCTGCACGTGAGGCTCTCCAGAGGAGCGCACAAGTTCCACTCTGAGCTGCTTCACTGCCTTGCCAAGTTTGAGGTCATGTTCTACGATCTGGACGAAGTCTGCCGTGATTACCTGTTCCCCGAGCCCGAGGAAGGCAACGGCAGAGCCGGATGCTGCATCATGGGAGCAGTTGCTATTTTGGCCGTGGTTCGTCAATGGCCATGCTTTGCTGGAGTACCTTGTGGTTGGACACGATTATTCACTGGTTTTCTGCACCTAATGCTGCAAGTACACCGACACGGGTAGCATCAATCATCACGGCCTGGACGCAACGTGTTACAGCAGGTTCCGTTCCACAGGGAGGGTGGTGAAGAATTTGAGGCACTTTGAGAATCTCCGCCACCCCCAGTCGGTCAAGGAACATCTGAGGCTCGAGTCGCCCAGGGGGCCTTCTGAGTCTGTTCGGTTGGCCCTTTGCAGGGCCAAGCGCTGGAGGGACCCGTTGTCTGCTGTTGTTTTCCAGAGCAGCAGATGGGGGGCCAACGTTGAGCCCCAGCGGGCCCTGGACACAGCTGTGTTTCTGAAGGACACTGATCTTGAGCTGGATTCCCTTGCGGCTATAGGTGGGCCGCGAACTGACAACGAAACTGAGGATTGTCTTTGGTGAGGAGTGGTAGTTTTGATGCCGCTCGGAATGCTATTCGGCCCTGGCTCAGTGGGAAGTCTGAGATCCATATTTGCTGGGGGCTCGTCGTCTTAGAGTACCTCAGCCAAGGGGGAGAGCGCCTGTTTCAGGCGGCCCTTCACCCAGGGGAACGCGTCTCGCGGTCCTGGGCGTGGCACAGCCTGGTGCCGTTCGCCGACTGCTTTGTGTACGGCGACTTCGATGGGGCCGTTTCGCCCCACGCCCGCGGCCGCCGCCGCGTTAGGCGCTGCGTGCCGTGGCCCTCCCCCATCGGCGCGCGGTTGGCCCCTCTGTCGTCCCCTGGTGGGGCGTTGGGGTCCACGGTCTGCTGGAGGGGCTGCTGGGGCTAGCAGCGCTCATTCTCTCTAAACAACCGCCTCTCGGCTCTGGTGCACTCCTTCCCTCCCTCATCCTCCACCTTCTCCGCCTCTTCCTCCTCCTCCTCCTCCTCCTCCTCCTTCCTCCTCCTCCTCCTCCTTTCCCCCCTCCTCTTCATCCTCCCTCCTCCGTTTCCTCCTCCTCCTCCTCCTCCTC